GAACATCCAACTGGCAAAATGTGTATTTATATATTTTCTGCTTTCATGCTGCTTTTCTGCGCCTTAGGTCCAATTTTACCCTATATGGATTTATATTTTCTGATATATATTTAACCTGATCTCCTATTGTATGTATATACGTATGCCAATAAAGGCTTGTCAAAGTAAAAAGTATTTATATATATATTTATTTAGATATTTATACCCCAGTTTACTCCCCAACAGGGATCCAAAGCAGCTGACATTGTTTTTCCCACCTCCATTTTAGCCTCACAACCACCCTGTGAGACAGGCTAGGTTGCTGAAGGGGAGTAACTGGCCTAAGGTCACAGAGTGGGCTTCCATGACAAAGTGAAGATTTGAATGGGCTCTTTTTGTAGCAGGAACTCCTCTGCATATTAGGTGACACACCCCTAATGTAGCCAATCCTCAAAGAGCTTACAGAGCTCTTCTTACAGGAGCTACTGTAAGATCTAGGAGGATTGGCTACATTAGGGGTGTGTCACCTAATATGCAAAGGAGTTCCTGCTACAAAAAGAGCCCGGATCCTATTCTAACACTCTAACCACTTTAACACACAATGTTAATTAACTGTGAACATACCCCTTTCTTCTTTCTTGTCTGCCCTTGTGCAAAGATGTGTAAGATGATGCAGCAATTTAGATACATACAGTATCAAACTCCTGGGTTCCCTTGGAAACAGGAATGATCAGGGTGGAAGCTAGGATTTGCATTCTTTCCATATATAAATGGATAACGGGCAGTATTAACCCAAATGGGCTGTTCCATCTCATACTGCATGACCAATTTCAGAGCAGTTGGCTACAAGCGGTCCGAGCTTGAAGCTTAACATGGGAGTCCTATGAGGTGATTCATGTAAACGTTTCAATACATTACAGATTGGGCAAAATTGCTTATTAAGCAAAAAGTGCTAGTCACCAAATTATTTTTCTCCAGCAAACAGTAGATATGTGGTTGCTCTTGCAGCCTATTTATCTTTTCTTGACTCTTATAATACCAGAAGGGCCTTCACCCTAGCAAGGAGCATGGCCTTGCCGTCCGCAGTAATAGGGGAACGGTACAGAGGGATCCCTTACACGCTCAGGCTCTGCACTTGTTCCCGGACTGAAATAGACTCTCTGGAGCATATCTTTTTAAATCGCTCTTTCCATACGGCGAGCCGAAAGGAAATCATCGGCCTGCTGCTGGAAAGGTTCCCAGGAAGATCAAACAAAATTAAATTAGAATACCTGTTGTTGGATAGGAATCATCATACATCAAGACAGGTGGCTAGGTTCTGTGCCCAGGTATGTAAGGAATGCAAAAAGCGAGGCAAATAGACCATATCTCTACTTTTATCAAAAAATGTAAATGGCTTAAAAGGTTTGAACAGTAGTTTTATTTTTTCCTTTATATTTTATATAATTTATAAGCTTTTATGTTACTAAGGTTTTTACTGGCTCATAACCAGCTAGGATAGTATCAGGAATTTTTCTATTTGTCTTTTAAATTGTTATGTACTGGTCGAAGACTGTAATAATAAACTGACTGACTGATACATACAGAAACTGCAGATTGTTGCTAGAGGCATTTCTTTCAACAGAAAAGGGAGTTTCTTCTGTATTTATATATTCTCTAAGGGAAATTTCCACAGGAATAAAGTCTGGAATATGAAACATAAATTGCCTTACTTCTGGGGCTATCCCTTTCATCTAGTTCTCTCTCATTATCACCTATTATTGTCATTTATATTTGCATATCACCTGTTCTGTAATGGTGGCACACTTGTGTTTTGCCAATTTAACTTCACAACAGTGCTTATAAAGGTAACTTAGGCTGATGTCTCTCCAGTCCCACACCATGTAAATCACATTTCTTTTCTGGTGTACTACCTTAATCCAAATCATTTGGTTTCTGGAAAAATGAATTAAATCACAATGAATTTGTAACTGAGCTTGTTGGGTGGATTGTGGTAGAGCAAGACTGAGGGAAACAGCTTGATATTTCCTTTGTTGCAAGACAACTCTCTCATTTGTTTGTTTATTCATTTATTTTACAAAATTATATCCCATCTTTCTGCCCTCATGAGGTCCACCAAGTTGGCTAACAAATTAAAAACATACATAAGAAAATTGCATCTTAAAAATCATTAAAATCAACAGTAAACACATCATTAAAACAATTAACACCAGAATTTAAATGCATACAAAAGTGTACTACAAACAACAACTAAAACATTGGGCAGGAAGGCGGGATCACTGAGGGAATGCCAGATAGAAACAAAACCTTCGCCTGCTAGCAGATGGCAGCAGAAGGGGACATGTGAGTCTTGCTGGGGAGAGAATTCCAGAGTTTTGGTGCCACAACTGAGAAGGCCCTCTCTTGGGTTGCCACCTGCGTAATCTCAGAAGGTGTGGGCTCCCAAAGCAGTGCTTTGGAGGATAAATATAATGGTCACGTAAATTCTTAAGGGAGTAGGCTATCCTTCAGATATGTTGGTCCCAAACCATATAGAGCCTTAAAGCCCTTGGATTGTGCTTGGAAACAGATCGGGAGCCAGTGTGGATTAGTCAGGACTGGAGTGATATTGTCCCTATGATCCTCTGCAGTGAACATCCTGGCTGCAGCTTTGTGCACCAACAGAAATTTCTGAACACTTTTCAAAGGGAAGCCCCATGTAGAGCATGTTGTTGTTGTTTTTTTGCCATCAAGTCACAGTCGACTTATGGTGATCCCATAAGGTTTTCAATGCAAGAGACATTCAGAGGTCGTTTGCCATTGTCTGATTCTGTGTAGAGATCCCGGTATTCTTGGTGGTCTCACATTCAAATACTAACCAGGGCCGACCCTGCTTCGTGTTCAAGATCTGACAAGAGTGAGCTAGCCTGGGCTATCTAGCTCAGGGAAAAGTGCATTAAAGTAATCTAATCTAGATGTGATTAAGGCATGCACCACAGTGGCCATATCATTTCTGCCCAGGAAACACCGCACCCATCAGAGCCGGTAAAAGGGTCTCCTGGCCACAGCTATCACTATATCATTTCTGCCCAGGAAAGGCCGCACCCATCAGAGCCAGTAAAAGGGTCTCCTGGCCACAGCTACCACCTAATTATCCAGCAATAGGCCTGGGTCCAAGAGCACCCTGGACTATGGACCCACTTCTTCAAGGGGAGTGTGACCCCATCCAAAATGAGTGACATCTGAAATCCAAGGTCAGGCCTTCTACTTACCGGTAACATTTAGGACTTGTCAGGATTAACCTTCAGTTATTAATCTGCAACCACTCTAACACTGCCTCCAGGCACCAGTTCAGGTTTTCTACAGCCTTCCTGGGATCAGCCAGGGGGTTTGAATGTCATCCCCAAATACTGGTGACGACCCAGGTCAAATCTCCAGATGACCTCACCCAGCAGTTTCATGTAGACATTAAACAGCACAGGGGAAAAGATGGAACCTTGCAAGGACCCACAGGCCAAGGGCTCAACAGCAGTCCCATTTATTTTGTAAATATGTAACATAGTCTTGCCCGGCTCTGTTCTCCCATTATGCACCTCCAACCAGTGTTCCCTCTAAGCTGAGTTAGTGTGAGCTAGCTCACAGTTTTTTAGCCTTTGGCTCACACATTTTCGTCTCCGCTCAGGAAGCATGGCTCCAGAGCAAACTGATTTATGCAGTAACCAAATGGCTCGCTCACAACTTTAATGCCAGCAGCTCACAAAGTAGAACTTCTGCTCACAAGACTCCACAGCTTAGAGGGAGCATTGCCTCCAATGATGAATTCGAGGCTTTCAAAAATTATTTACAAAAGGATTTTTACTACAAAGAAACCCCCTTGCTTATTTGTTAACTTCTAGTTTTATAAAATAAATTGATATATAAGTGTATAATATTTCTTTAGAGGATGTGTGGTCCTCGGGTAACCAAATGCAGTTGAACAGGGAGGGGGGGAAGCTTGGCAGATGCTAGTTTTCTCATCTGTTAAGCTGAATTGACAAGAAAGGCAACAACTGTCCACGTTCTCTCTTACATGCAATACTGACAAGTGCAATGGTTGTCAACCTCCAGGTGCTGCCTGGAGATCTCCTAGAATTACAACTGATCTCCAGGCAAAAGAGACCAGTTCTTCTGGAGAAAATGGCTGCTTTTAAGGGTGGACTCTATGGCTCTACATACCAATGAGGCCCCTCCTCCACCCAGGCTCCACTCTCTAAATTTCCAGGTATTTCGCAACCCAGAGTTGGCACCCCGACCATAAAAGTTCATCCTCGTCTCTGCTACATACAGTCAGTCACCACTGTGCATTCCATTCTTCCCTCTGCTGATGTACACATTAAGCCAGATTTTTCCCCCCAAAGGAAATGAAACATCCTTTGGGTCTGTCCACACATCATCTGTAATACTGCAGCAGCACTACGGCAATCGTTCGCAACGGGATATTTTTCTTGTGTGTGCAAGGCAATAAGTTGCAAATGACTGCTGTGGCGCAGCCAGAGCACAAGATCCAGTGATGTGAGGATGCAGCCTTTTCCAGGCTAAAAAGGAGCCTTTTTCAAAATCCGCCGCCTCCCCTTTTCCAAAGCAAACGCGCAAACAAAAGAGGGCAGACAGCCCGTTGCCTACTGACAAGCAAGCCCAGTTGGGTTCCCTGGGGCTTACTCCTCAGAAAGTGTGCTTTTTGCAGCCAGCGGGGAGGGCGAGAGGTACCTCGACGCCGTAGATCACAACAGAAGCGATCATCTTGACGTGTTTATGCCTTGATAAGTCTGCCGGGTAAACCATCCGAGCCCGTGTGGTCTTTGCAGATGCCAATTATGCCATCCCCTGGGCTTCCCCTAGTTCCGCTCCTCCGTGCTCAGCCGCTCTTTTCTATCTCTGAGGCTTAAGAAGTTGTTTGTGCGGAAAGGGGAAGTTTGCTGATTAGCTGTTCGGCGTGTCAATCACAGGCCAGGGAAATTCCAGAGTGGGCGGTTCTGACTCACGCTTCCTTCTGTGTGCGTTCAGAGAGGAAGTAAAAGAGATGTCGGCGCTGCGCGAGCCGTAGAGCAAGGAGCTGCCTGGACCTCCATTGGCGGCCCTGCACAGGTAGGACCGGATCTCTCCCCGGGCAAAAATCGAGGTGGTTGTGCCTGCAGTACCCCGGGAAGAAAGCCGGTGAACTCCACGGAGAGCGGTCTCGGTTAATCACTAATTCTGGAAACCATAGATATTAGATTAACTTTTGATACTGTGTCAGCTGGTAATGGGGATGCTGCCTGTGAAAAGAGGTACCTTTCGGTTTTCACAGTTCTGAAATAAGTGGTACGATCTTTTTAAATAAGGCCAAACTAAGTTGTTCGTTCTTTATTATGATCCTTTGACCAATAATATACACAGTTTTACAGTTAAAAATTCAAAGTTTACAGTATACCAGATAAAAACGATTAGATTAAGTCTAGGTCTGTTCCACTGCTCCTAAATGTAGTAAAAATTGGCATAATGTGAACGGAGCAATTCTGTTGTGTCCAGTACATGAGAAATCACCTACTGGCTTTGTTGCTAACAAATTACTGTTCTAGAACAAGGTTTGAGTCCAGTGGCACCTTTCAGATGCTAGGCAAGTTATTTAGAGCATGACGGCAGAATGTAAATGTGTGATCTTGAATAGTAATGCAAGTAATAAAGTGGTTAGCACTGGAGGCACAGCTTGTGCACGTAGTGTGCTCTGCCTGTCTGTTCTGAAGGTAAACAGGAAAGTATTGTACTGTGGGACAGAAGTTCTCAATATCTCAGAGCAGTTAATTATTTTAGTAAATGTCTTCTTAAAAAGACCATAGCAGTGACAATCGTAATATATGTCTCGAATCCTGTCCTCATAATGCTGCTATCTCTTGCTAAAAGAAAGATCCAGTTGGTCAGCCGTTGATAAAATTTGTGTGCACACGAAAGCTCATACCTTTGTTGGTCTTAAAGGTGCCATTGGACTCTAAATTTGCTAAAAAAAGAGTTCAAGTTAATGACACATGTTTTGAAAGAAGCCTGGCTTGAAGGATTACTCCAGCCTCTGAGGCCATTTAAATGCATACAGTTATTTACTATTTTGCAGCTGAGTGTAGCTGTTCACTTTAGAGCAATGGATGTGCTTAGATAATTCTGACACAGCACAATCCTATTCATGCAGTTTCATGGGTTTCTCAAATAATTATGTGTGGGTTTGTAGCTCTATTTTAATTATCTTATACCATTAAGACATTCTAGGTGACACATATAGGTCTGCCCTGTTTTGTCCTTGCATCCATTGTGGGAAGCAATGATGTAAAAAAATATATACAGATTTGGGGGGAAATTGAAATATATGCTGTGATTATTTTCCTGTCAAATCTAAACTTCTCTTACTGATTGAACAACATAAAATGCATCATTTATAACTTACTTAGCATATATTCAGATGGGGTAGCCGTGTCGGTCTGAAGCAGCAGGACAAAGTTTGAGTCCAGTGGCACCTTTAAGAACAAAGTTTTATTCACGCTATAAGCTTTTGTGGGCAAGCACACTTCAGAATGATACAGTGAAACAGAACCTCCCCAGGATGATCATTAGAATTTTTCATCATTTGGTTGCCTTGCTGACTCTCATTTCTTTCAGTGTTTGGCTGTAAAAAAGAAACAAACTCCCCAACTAAAGGCTTTTCTACGTGGGTATTTTCTGTCAGTTCTAGCCCTGTACTCAGGGCCGGCTCACCTGCTAGGCGAACTAGGCATTCGCCTAGAGCGTAGGCCGGCCCTTAGGGCGCCAAACTGGACCCCCCGCCAAAGCCTCCCAGCCCCCGCCAAAAGCCTACGGCCTCCTCCTCCGCCTGCCCGGGACTCCCAGCCGCGCCTGGCTGCCCGCCTCCCTCAGCCGTGCCTCTGCACCTCCGCTCCCCTCCAGGCTCACCACCAGCCTCCCTCCTGCTGGAGTTGCTGCTGCGGCGGCAGGGGTGGTGTCACCTGGCAGCCAGGAGTGCCCACCGGCGCTCAATCCCAGGCAAGCCAGGCACACACCTGGAGCAGGCCCCCAGCGCATCCCCCCTTTGCCTTGGCTTCCCCAGGTGAGGGACGTGGGCGAGAATGAGCCCTTCATGCTACTCGATGCCAAGCTGAAGAGGGAACTCTCCGACAGGCAGGTTTACCGCTGGGCGCTTGGGGGGGGGGGCGCTTGGCTAATCCAAAGCTTTGTCCTTTGATCACCCCATGGAAAGGGCTCGGAGGAGGAGACCTGGGGGTAAGAGCAGCGATGTAAAGGCAGAAAGCATGGAGTTCCGGTTTGTTTTGTGTGTGTGTGTGAAGTGAGAGCCGCGGCAGGGATTTAAAGAAAGAGTCTGGGAAAGGAGATGAAGTCGGCTTGTCTGCTCACCCCTTATTTTTAAAAGCGTATTTTCGTGCTTCCTACTAAGTAGCAAACTTATTAGACGTGATTTGTCTCCCAAAATTTCATTTAAGCCTTTAATTTGTTTCCCTCCTACCCTCCGCCCCC